GGGTATTAGCCTAACGCCTGTTGTGACAAAATTACTGGCCTCGATTATCGTTCGTCGCCTCACTGCGGAACGGAATTCTCGGATTAGGAAAGAACAGGCCAGTTGCCGCCCAGGATGGGCTGTATGGACCATAGATTCACTTTGCGGCGGGTGCTAGAGAAGCGCCACGCATACCGCAGACCGACAATAGCTGTTTTCGTTATTGGTGGTTTTTGTGAGTAGTGTAATTCTTGTATAAAGTAGAAGCCACGATTAAACTTTGCACAATAAGCCCCCGTCGAGGCAGATTATTGTGCAAAATATAATCGCGGCCTCAACTTACTAAAAAATTACACTACTCACAAAAACAGCCAATAATGTAAATTTGCCATCGCCCTTTGAACATCTGGAGGACGGGTACTTCGGTTCATTGGGAAGTGACCAGTGAGTGAGCCAAACTGCAACACCAGGACAGGTACTGGGAGCTTAGTGGCAATACGTCGCGAACCAAGCAGAAGTCATGTATTAAAAATTGCGCACCTGATCGTCAGTCCTCGGTAGCTCAGTTGGTAAAGCAGCAAGGCGGTAATCCGTAGCCCGGGGTTCGTGTCCCCGTCGAGGCAGATTATTGTGCTAAGTTTAATCGTGGCTTATACTTTCAACAAAAATAGCTGTTTTCCCCGATTTCAAGAGTGTGCTCGATTCAATCGATCGATGTATTCTGCTCGAAAAACTTGCGCGGAAAGGTGTTCTCACGAAATATGTGAACATCCTACGTGCTCTATACTCGAACACTACAGGCCGCGTCAAGGTCTACGGTGACCTATCGGACAGGTTTCCGACCACAAGTGGAGTTCGTCAGGGTTGTCCGATTTCCCCATTTCTGTTCAATTTCCTCGTGGATTCTATCATGGAGTGTTCCCTTACGGAATCTCACGATGTAGGCGTTAAACTGCTGCCTGGTGAAAGGTTAGTTGATCTTGCTTATGCAGACAATATCGTCTTGCTTTTCGACGATGTTGCGGCGGCACAATCAACCTTGAATAGCCTGTCTGGAGCGGTCCCATTACTTGGTATGCACTTCGAACCGTCAAACTGCAAAATGGTGCTGCAAAAACAACAGCCACTTTATGACCCCTTGAGTCTTGCTAACGAGGAACTCGAGGTGGTTGATCAATTCACTTATCTTGGCATCTGTATCAGCAACGATGGGCACTTAGAAACTGACGTCAGCTCATGCATTGCAAAGGCCAGAGCTGCCTTCTTGAACCTGCGGCATCATTGGCAACAGAAGGGAATTTCCCATCGTCTGAAAGGCCGCGTATACAATTCCACAGTGAGGGTCGTTCTACTCTATGTTAGTGAGACTTGTCCCTTTCGGTCTGAAGATCTAAAGTGCCTTCAAGTCTTTGATCATCGTTGTCTGCGTTGCAGTGCTGGTGTCGGATGGCACCAGCGTGTCCACAGCGATGATGTACGTAGGTGAGTACTAGGTAATGATAATCATGCTAGCTCCCTAGAACGACAGATAGCACTGAATAAGTTGCCTTGGCTCGGGCACGTGCTACGTATGCTTGGTCACCGCTTACCTAAGATGGCCTTGTTTAATCTGCCAGGTGTAGGGTGGCGCAAGGTTCCAGGTGGACAAAAGTTGACTTGGTAGCGGGAAATGAAGTCACTGACGAGCAAACTGGGTCCCGTTGGTCCGTGTCGCCTTCCGGGCTGGAGTCTACGTGACTCGCCTTGTGCTTGGCTCGAAACTTTACAGGACATGGCTCGCAAACCGACACCAGTATCACGTCTGTTGCCGTCTCCTAATCGGACTGCCTGTTTAAAGTGTGTTTGGTGGTGAGTTATCTGCGGGACAAAGGCTTATTATGACGCGTAACAGTGAAAGCCGCAAGGAAGCTGTCTCGTCGATACCGCCTTATCTTTGCACGCTAGCCAGCTGTTTGTGACGGTATGTTGTCTTCACAAGGTGTAGGCGTCTTGACCCTGAATATTTGCTTAGGGCATTAAGGTTTTCCAGTAAGTCCTCCTTCTCTCCCTCTTCTTATTCTTTATTTCATAGGTCCTCATGGCTGTATGGCAACGAAGCATCAGTTCAAATGGCGGGTGTACTCCCGTTGATGATGATGGTCAAGGTCTATGTGTGTAACATCCTTGTCGAACGTATTGTAGTGTTTTCGATTCTGCAGGCACCTTGGGGCTGATCACCTGAAAGCCTTAGCCTGTAATCGCGTGCACTACCCGAACATGGATAAACAGCCGCAAGAACCTATTCAAAATATCAAATGTGAAAAATCCCCATCGCAAAACAGAATTTTGCTCACGGCCTGTGCCAAACACTTCTTGGTCATGACTTCAAGTTGACTATGCAGGACCTATGGATAGTCAGCATTATTAGCTTCTGGTTGATGACTATGGCAAATGGCCAGAAATCTCCAGAATGGATCGTATAACATTCAGTGCTACCATCCTAAAGCTACAGTGTGTGTTCAGTCGGTTTGTAGGTCCACGTACTCTGGTTGCTGATAGCGGCAGAACGTTTATTTTCGCAGAAACCTCCACTGGTTATGAACAAAACAATACGCAACATGCCCAACTGCTGCCATTTCACACAATATCCAAAGCGCAAGTAGAACGATTTGTGGAGAATTCCAAGCGATCACTAGTGAAGTTCGTAGGGGAGAGGACCACTCAGAAATTACTGAGACGCTAATGCTGAAGCACAGAGTAATGCAAAATGTCAATAGATTCGGTGGGAAGTTACGCTCACGTATCGATGTCATCCGTCTAGCATAACGTATGCCGACCGGTTGAAACATCCGCATAGAGAACCGGTTTAACTGGCACCGCGGTGCCGGGAACCGCACGTCTAGCGCTGGTCTAGTCTGGTAAAGGAATGTTATGATAATGCCAAAAAGTGGACATAGGGCCTGATTGTACGCCTCAATGGACAGGCTACCTATGAAGTGGATGTACGCACCTAAATATGGGTCAGCCATGCCAACCAGCTGCGTTTGTCTCCCTCCTAAACGTCATATGATGCTACCCATTTTAATGATACTCTCCAAGATTCCCTTGAAATCCTTCAAAGATAGAAAGCTCAAGAAAACAGAATGAACCACCCAATTCAGCTGGTTGAGTAATTAGATGGGCTTGTCGTATAAGATGGCAACGTATACCTATGTAGTTGGATCCACGGTAACAACCATTAGGAACATATATTCCCAAGGGGACAGCGACCACCAAAGGAATTAACCCACTTTTCAAAATTTATGTTCACTAACCACAACTATTCGTTTCCATCGAAATGAAATTATTTGAAATGAAATTATTTTGGACCGTGACACTTCTTTTCCAATGATCAAACATTCGATTACGAGTTGTTCTACCAGGTGATATAGCATCCATCAACAGTTGTTGGTCTCATCATCTTCCGCGTTGTTGACAGCTTGATCGGCTGAAGGACATCGATAAGATAGCACAGATCACATAGGAAAGTTGAAAAGATGGAGCCACAGAGACCACTCAACAAAAGTGAGTGGGAAAAGAATGTTCATGACAAATGATCCATTGATGAATTGTAAGCGAGTTCCATCCACAAGATATTGAAGCCATTTTGGCAGTGGACACAGAGAAGAAGATGTATTTCATGATAGTTGAGATTTCGAATGAGGTAATGGTGTGCCAGTTCCAATGTCCCATGCTAAAGCCACGCTTCCTCATCCACAGGTTGTGGAACAGAGAAAAAGGTCGCCGTGTGAAACTAATTCCAAGTAAGGAAAACAATCAATCAGGAAAAATACTTCAAGTACCCACCAGTTGCAGAGCCGTTCACCACCTGGATCAGAAAGCAACGGTTAATCAGTAATATGTGGTAAACGCCCGGTAAAACAGAATGCAATACTTATGTACAACAAAAGCGGATATAAGGTGACCTACGAGGAAACAAAAAAGGTCCCAGCATTTAAAAGAACGGTCGAAAAGTTTGTGGAGCAACAAGTGGGCGATTGCAAGTCAAACGTACCAAATGCGAAATTGGAGTTCCTGGCGACATGCTAGCGTCTTGCAAGCCGAGGTCAACCAAAGTTAACAGACGCTGGACAGTCTCCTGAATCCCGCACAGCTAAACATGTGGAAAATAAGGTAATGTGTTAAAGGTGAAAAATCGAGGCGTGTTATCCGTTTTCGTAAGATTTCTCCGGTTAGCTTTATATAACTGAAAACAGACCATGGATTGCATGGGTAAATGAGGATCCGAGCCATGACTGCTAGCGAACAGTCATAGCGATGAGTTGTTTCGAAGCCCAATACTAAAACAGCTATAGGCGGGTAAACAACTCTAGTGGAAGAAAATAAAGACAGAAGATTGACGTGCAGCCATGGAAAACAAAAGTTCTGTAGAATGAAAAATATGATCGGTAGTTTTATGGTGCCAGACTAAATGTTATAAGAAGCAGACCCAGCCGGGTAGCATATGACCGCGCACCCAAGACTACTTTGCAGCACTAGAGAGGTTTTCATTTAATTTTTCGAATGGCACCGATGCTAACGCAAGCAGTGGTCACGATGAGATGGTACAGTTACCCACTTGCCCAAGTGGATCGCCGATAGCTGTCATAGTGTACAACAACCTCATCCGAAAACGCACGTTAACGAGTGACGAAAAGAGGGAATGGCTGTTCAATGTCTCTTCAGAGCGCCAATATTCGCTTAGTTAAGTTCCGCTTAAGATATTTTAAATGATGCCGAAAATTGATAATGGAGTAAATAAACGAAAAACTAATGAGACCACAAAATGCAACTGACTGGTGATCATAGGACGAAGTAGATTAGGAGAAACAAAAGCAGTCGGCCACATGATGAAGATGCAACCATAAACATACCCACTGATTAGTTGGGGGGCCCTCGGCGAATCCTAATATACGACCTTCTGAGTCAAGAAGAACGATTCGCGAGTTAGAAGCGCCCCTGTAACATTAAGAATACAAAAATATGTCAGCGGTAAACCACTAAACCATTTTGAAGATGGAAACAGTAGCACGGTAACAAAAAAAAGCAACTCACCCTTCAATTCCGCCGAAAATAGTTTTCGTCATTTGGCAACCGGGAAACCGGAGGGAAGAATCAGGCTAGTGGATCCTGAAAGGCGGAACATGAGAAAACCACCATGTGCGATCACACCGAAAATTGCGGGTTCCTCCAATAATCACAAATTGAGCTTGCGCATTAAAGAGTGAGTAAAAAGAAGTTTCAGAGTTGTGGACTGGGTATAAGGAGTGTTTCAGAAAACATCCAGGGCTGGTGTTCCAAAATATGAGGGTCATTCAATAAATAAGGTGAATTTTTCGGTATAAGGACTTCTAATACAGATAGAAGCTAATTTTTTTAATTTTGTTGTTTTGCTTCTTTTTCATATGGATGTAGGTTCTTTTGCAGATTGAAAAGAAACTTTGAGAGTTGTAGTGATTAACAAAGATGGCCGACCAAGAAGCATGCTCCAGGATTGAACAGCGGGCAGTTATCAAGTTTTTGGTTGCTGAAGAGTGCAAACCAGTTGAAATTCATAGGAGAATGTCAACTGTGTATGGTGCCACATGTTGCAGCCGAAAAAATGTCTACAAGTGGGCAAAATTGTTTAAAGAAGGACGGAGTAGTGTTGAGGATGAAGACAGGCCTGGGAAGCCTACAGAAGTGAGGTCTCCTGAGGTGATCGAATCAGTCAATGACTTCATTCAGTCGTACAAAAGGGTGACAGTGGATGACATGGACAATTTTGTGTGCCGCCCCAACAGATAAGCTCAAAGTCCTTGCAATGTCATTTTTGTTGATTTCAACAAAGCGTTTGATAAGGTCCAACATCTGCGACTACTCCAGAAGTTTGTGGCAGGTATTGTCAATGGCAGCCTTCACTCGTGGATCGCCAACTTTTTGGAAGGTCGGACCATATATCGAAGTTAATATATGGTAAGTGAGGATCAGGTCTCATCGAAGCCATTGGTAGTGCATTTAAAACGCACCCAAGCTAAGTAGACGCTCTGAGTGCGTTTGCCCTCGTAACTTCTCGAGCAACTTGGTACCCACTCGCAAAACCCTGAGCCTGACGCGGTAACACGATTCAGTAATGGAGTTGTAGAGGACAAAAGGGAGGTCCCATGTTTGCCCCATAATCTCCGATTTAACACTAGGGGCACGCATGTTGTCGCGGCCCGGTAATTCTCAGGGAACCAGGGCAGTCGCAGTAAGACAGGACGGGTTAGATGTCCAAGAGTCGTTTGAAACTCCTCGGTATGCGCATCAATAACCGTCTCCGGTAGATGTTACCAGCCAATCACTACCCGGGTGGAGAGAGAGACAGCTGTGCGGACTTTGAGTTCCCTCGTTTTGTATAGCTTCCAATTGTGACCTCGTGTCCAGCCACTCATGTTGAGCTGGAAGAGCTGTTGTAGATCGTTCCTTAGTTCCCCTCATAATAGATGCCTCCACGACAACGGTATTCCATGAATAACACATTCATCTACTGAAGCCGGAGGGAGTATGGAAAATCACGAAACGCGGAAACGAACTTGGAGTCACGCCTCTGAAGATTTTCGATTAAGGCACATTTATGCTTAAAGAGTGGGAATGCAGTTGGCAGACCATATTCTAGAATTAGTCGCACATGAGAAGTGAACAGGAGCCTGAAGATCTTCAGTGTTATTCAAGAGAATGATCTTCTTACAGCACAGCACATGCTGTTTGCAGCAGCGACTCTTCTCAGTGTATCCTGCGTTATTGTTAGGTCAGGTGCTACTATTACGCCTAAATCTTTTTCCAGAGCTGCGCGTTTGAGAAGGAAGCCACCAATGTGGATGGTTCCAAGTGGCTCAGAAGCCCCAATCGGTAGGGTGCAGCACTTTTCGCAGTTGACTGGTAGGCCCCACTTGATGGACTAGCCGTACAATAGACCGAATATCACCTGTAATCGATCAGCTGCGTCAAGGTCAGACACTTCAGGTCACAGGTTGACGTCGTCGACGTAGACCAAGCATTCCGGTTTGGAGTGTTGCAGAAAGCTCATTGAGATACAGCCTGAACAGTTCGGGTCCAAGGACAGATTCCTGTGGAATACCGCTGATCAACAGCACTGGCTTGGAAAACGTTTCGTCCACTCTCACTTGCATGGTCCGACCTTCCAAAAAGTTGGCGATCCACGAGTGAAGGCTGCCATTGACAATACCTGCCACAAGCTTCTGGAGTAGTCGCAGATGTTGGACCTTATCAAACGCTTTGTTGAAATCAACAAAAATCACATCTAAGCGTTGTCCGGCATCGATTTGCTTCGCCTACTTTTCTCTTGCCACTAGCAGGTTGATGGAGCAGGAATGAGCCCTCTGAAAACCATGCTGGGTGGATGTAGTGGTGTTATTTTTGTCGCAATGTTACTGTAGAGCGCGTTTGGTGATCTTTTCCACGAGTTTAGAGACGATAGAAGTTAAGTAAATCGGGGGTTAGTTCACAGGGTCTTGGCAGTTTCCCTCTTTGCACTTGGGTACTATGGTCCCACTTTTCTAGTGGATGGGTAGAGGACCAGCCTTCATGGACAGCTAAAAGACTTGGCAAGTGGGTAAATCAACATAGTCACCTACTGTCTTAAAGAAAATAGGATTCGGCCCGTCAGGGCCAGGTGAGGATCTCGAGTTCAGTTCAATTAGAAGTCTCATGACTGTGCCCGGGCTGAATACAATAAGTTCTAGACGGCAAGGGTGCGTGGATGTGTATACGTTGGTCAGCGGAGCTTCTGGAGAGTTTAAGGAGGAGTATTTCTGGGCCACCAGGTTCGTTTTCTCATCGTCTTCATAAAGCGTAACACCTGTAGGGTTGGATAACAGAGCGGGAATGCTGCAATCTGCTTTGGTTCTTTTGCTGAAATAAGCATATAGTTTTTGGTCTAGATAATCTGGGTTTATATTTTTGTCTTTTCTCGCGCTTTTCCTGTGAGCATAGGTTCCTGTGTGCCTGGTAGCTCGATTGCTCTGAGGCTATTTGAGAGAACTTGAATTTGTCCCACAGTTTCCTCCGCTGATTCATAAGAGGGCGCAGGTTTCGATCAGTCAAGGGGACCACTCGCGCGTGGCTTCTTACTAGTTTGGGACAACCTGCTCAATGAGCAGGTTCATTTGGGAACGTAGAAGATTCCAGGCACCATCAACATCTAGATCTTGTTGGATAGTCCAGTACGTGATGCTAGCTGTTGTTCTTAAACAGGACGGATTTATGCACCAGAAGTTCAGACGGTAGACTCCGGTTATGAGTGGCTAAGCGCTGCATGTACGTGAAGAAGAGAATGCAGTGATCACTATGGCCAATTGGAGGGAGAGTGGTCAGATTTTAGACGTCGGATAGTGTCGGTGTCAACACAAGATCGAGTAGGTACAGTGACTGACCGGAAGTATCCTGGTGGGTGTGGAAACATGCTGTATTAAGTTGACCAGAAGAATTGCACCAAGGAGAGCAGCATCAAAGGACTCAGGAGAAAGCCTACAATTGAGGAGATCCCAGCCAACAGCGAGTGCACTGAAGTCCCCCAAAATTAGGCAGTTCCTGCCTCTCCCATAGGTTCTGATTGAGTCCAGAATGCGGGCAGCGTTACTCGACGAGAGCTTGTACACCACCTTGACAGTGAGGGGTCTACACCCATCATGGACCCGACACCACAGCATTTCTGAACCGCCGTCACTAATGGTCTCGAGAGAGTGCACATTTAGGTCTGACCTCCAGTAAAGAATAACGCCGTCCCAGTCTTCGTCCCATGGAGATCAGCCCGAGAAGACTGAAATGTAGAGATATGGACTTCGCCAACAGGTGTGTCCGAGGTTAGCCAGGACTCAGTCAAAGCAAGATCTGGGTGAAGCTCGGAGGTGAGAGTGAAAATCTCGTCCCATTTGTTCCTCATGCTACGAACACTGGCAAACATCACTCGCAGTCCATGCGCTGGTCTTGATCTTGCGATCAGGGCAGGACCAGGATCAGCCTCCATCGAGCTCTCGGAGTTCTCCGCACTATAAGAAAATCCACAATGTGATTTGTTTCGCTATTTGCCCGTCTACTTCTAAGTTCATTAGATGCGTCTTTATTCCAACCCGGTCTTCCGGGCAGGGATCATCATCATCATTATACACGACAGCTAGAGGGGGGAACACCTCAACTACTGTGTCGCAATAAATAAAGGAAAAGGTAAATAAACACAATAGTTGCATGCCAGCTGAGCTACCAGCAAGGGATAGGCATTGTTCCGGTAAGCTACCAGCCGGCTACTAAGCAAAAAGAGAAATTATTATGTTTTACGCTACGAAATGAGATCGCAGATGGAGGGAGAGGAGAAAAGGGATGGGGAGGGACAAAGAAACTCAAAACAGGAACGCCACTGAGGTTGGCTCCTTGATATGTCAGCAAATGTATCCAGCCAAACGTGTTCACCGTCTTTTGGACCACAAACAGGGAGCCGTGACGTTCCAACCGAGGCCAGCACCGAAGTGAGGGCCGTCATTCCTCTCGAGCAAGTCATCGCTTGGCCACCTCTCCTCTTCTTCCATCCACAACCCCGGTGACCAAACAACGCACGTCGTGGAAGTCGCTGGGCTGGCATGCACAACACGTGGCCGAGCCATCGGAGCCTGGTGCGTGAAATGACGGTGCTGAGCGGTTCAGATCCTTTCTCTGTGCCGTAAACAAGACGTTGAACACGCTGGTTACTCACGCGGTGTTCCCACCAGATGTGAGCTAAATTGCGAAGGCACCGGTGGTCGAACGTAACTAGCCTCTTCATGTCCGCCGATCTTAGGGGCCAGGTTTCGCAACCGTACAGTAAGGTCGAACGCACCGCTGCATTGTACGCTCTACCCTTCAGGGCGAGAGTAATGTCGCGCCGCCAACATAGGTGGCGAAGGTTAGCAAAAGCACCTCGAGCCCTTGCTATACGGTTCGTGATCTCGTATTCGATCCCAAGGGCGCTGATACAACTTCCCAGGTAGTTTAATTTCTGAACGACTTCCAGCTGATCCCCACCAAGAGTCAGCGCTGGAGGCAATCCTTGCCAATCTTGGAGGAACGCTTTGCA